CATGCATATTTAATGTGAAATTTTATTAATCGGATAATTCGCTAGATGTTGAAGGAAAACATCAAAAAATTTAATAAATAATTCTAGTGAAACACATGTTTATCATAGAAGAATGGTAAATATTTAGTTGTACGAAGAAACAAGTCGGTAAGAAAATAATGGGAATAATGTTCCAACTGAAAAGAGTCTGAAAAATTTGATATTTGAAGGAGGACACTTTAGTCCATTATGACTTTCCATTCTACAATTTGTACGTTTCTTTCCAGCATTAACTTTAACTTTCCAAGCAGGCGAGCGGGAAACAAGCTCTACCACTTAAAACGTTGTCTCCGACATTGGGGTATGGGACTAGCTCCCCGTTGAATGGTCGGGGGAGACAGGGGAGGAGGGAGAGTTAAACGTTGCATTATTTATAGAAACCCTGCAACCTCCTAATCCCCGTCTGAGAAGGTCTTCTGCCTACTTGAAATGGCCAACGAAGGAAGTGACGTAATACCGTCGGTGCGACGAAGTGTTAACGCTCCCCCCAACGCATTTTTCCTATAAATCTTCATCTCTGCTGGAGGTTTTACAAATTACATCTCATTTTAATACCACATTCCACATTTCAATCCTGCGATATTTAATTACGCTACGTAATTACGCCTTTTATGACGTTTTTATGGTATAACGAGTCTCTTAATTATACATATCTTTTAATTGTACATATCTTTAGTAATGCAAAAAGAATCAGTTTTTTCACATGTTATGAATTTATAAGCAATTCTATCTCTGATTTTTATTCTCAATTTTCTAAAACATATCACATTTTTCAGATTTTTTTAAGTCAGATTATTCGCATTATTTATTATTCTTATTTTTTACTTTCAAGATTTGTGGGAAAACCTTATGAAGAAAATTATTCATGGATAAATTGCTATTTTATCTTCTGTTCTTTCTCGTTGCTTGTTTTGCGCATTGTACTTGACATTAGAGTTCTAATCAATAATAAAGTAAGGAATACGTGACGTCATGTTTTGATTCTGAGACCGACAAGGTCTAATTCTTGCGGGTGGGGAAAAAATTTATATAGGAAAGATAATTCCAAAGTACATGGTGGCTTCATCCCACGTCATATTATCAATTACATTTTGTATCTTCTTTCTTTCACATTTTAACTTTCATTTTCAACTTTAAAATTCTTAAACTTTCGACTTAAGTATAACATCCCGAATTTATAATGACGAGTGAGTTGTGAGAGTTAACAGCAAGTCTACGATCGCATGCTTACCCGTGAGTGCGCGCGCAACACATTCGCGCAATAATATTCTACGTGTGGAACAAACGCGTAACAAGCGTACGCTACGAGGGGCCGGATCGCGTAATTAGCCGAGTCGCTGTACGCTATTATACATCGCGAGTGCACGTCGTGGGTGTTCCGCAAACCTCAGGGCTGATCTTTGCCGTTGCCACCCTCCGCCGCGGGGTAGCAAGCCGCACACTTCCTACGATATTAATGATTTCCAGTCACGATCGAGTAGTATTTGCGAATCGATCAGTTACCAACTCTTCTGTAATTGGATTTTGTGAAATATTGCGTTGTTATTTTATAAATACTTAGCGCGGCAATTATAATTAGAAGATACAATATCATGAAATCATTACTTGCTTTCAACTGACAGAGAATATCATCTTGATATAGCATTCTCTTACTAAATGTCAAAAGAAAAATTTTGCCAATCTTTTTTTTTCTTCGAAAAATAGAAGCTTAATGTAACCTTAAATTATGTCGTCCCTTCAAGGCACATGATTTAAATAATTGAGAGCTAGTATACACTTCCCCTGTTTTACTATTATCCCCTCGCAATGAACGACCACTTATCTTCTCATTCCCTCGCGCAGTTTGGGAATAAATCAACCAGTTGTTTAAGACACGAAAAGAAGAAATAAATAATTTTCTAAATTATATTCTAATTATTTTTTGTACTTATAAAGACATATAAAAGCGGATATTTGTGAAATTAATTTAAATAAACGTATTGAAAATTTTGCAATCAAAAAAATATCTAAATATGAGTTTCACGACACAATTCTACAGTGAAATTTGATTTTATTAATTTTCCATTATGTATGATACGTCATATAATTTTTTCAGTGCTTCTAAAGATCTTATTTAATTCTGCTCTCTGCCCACGTGATGTAGCCTTCTATACAAATTTCGCCGCATTATCACACAACGAGACAGCGCAAAAATATCGCCACGATGCGCCGATGGATAAGAGCGCAGTGTCGCATTTACGTACGTAAATGTATGCGGTTTTATCGCGCGTCACCGAGTTAAGAATGCACGCGCGTGTCACCGCGTGCAACGCGCTGGAAGTAGAAAGAGCGCGTTTCGCTTCAACCGACTGATAAACGCGCGGCGCCGCTTCAAAATGCATAGAATTACTTTACATAGCGAGCAGATAAAGTGCAGTCAACTGACGCACTGTGCTGCGCCGCAGGCGGTGTACGTATTTTCATCCCGCTCGTCTACAACGCCGCTAATTTCATACGCACCACCCGGCGTTGAAAACTGCGAGCCACAGTTGACACACGTCGCTCTGGATTTTTATGCAATTCACACTGGCGCATTTACGCATCCAGTTGCGTCGAGAAGCGCCAGCTTTAAACGCATTTCTAGAAATGAATTTTTTTGTTTGTTATTTTTTAATTTAATATTTGAACCAAACGCACAGATTACATATTAAATATAAAATGTTCAAATGTATAATTTCGAGAAAAATGAAACGATTAATAATGGCAATGATATGTCAGAATAGACTCCAATCTTTACCTTCGATCGTAAGAGAGATGTTTTATTCGAGTCTATGCAGATCACGAAATGCGAGTCCCGATACGCATCTCTCGGCGATTATCCGCTTTTGAGTTATTGCGGCAAATGTTTGCAAAGTGACCTTGTTTCGCCGCGAACTTCCTAGTAGGCCTGTACCGTCGCGATGACTTACTGATCATAGGTTGATTTATATTCAATAACCAGCGGTAAACGCGGGGTTAGTTACTCCCCGTACCCACGTGCAATCACGTCCTGCCACGTGCAAACGCGGCTGATGGTACATACACAAATGTTCCTCGCGTCCGTGTATCTAAGGGCTTCGCGCTCGCGCTCACACAGACGCGCCCGTGTACGCGCGCGTTTCGTACCGATTGGCACGCACATAGACGGCAATGTAAACTCAGTGATTGGCCCTCTGTGGAAGGATAGGGTCACCCTAACCGCCCTATTCCTCCGTTTGTGTTCCTTCGCATATCAACCATCGCTTGAATTCGCCTCGCAGCAAAAACGGCTACTGATCAAGCAAAATTTAATGCAAGGCTATTTATGGATAAATATAGTTTTTTCGAAACTGGTGATTTGCAATAAAACTGAAGATTGGATTGATAACGTGCAGCGTAGAGAATTCTGCGAGATTACATTGCTATAATAACAGATTATCCAGCGTTTGAGAAATTTAACGATGCGAAATAGAGTGCATGAAATCGATTTAACGTAATAAAAAATTATAATATATATATCGCAATTGAATAAGAAAATTATAGAATTTTATTACGTTCTTCTAAATTAAATTGAAGTCGTCCGTTTTTTATAAAACTTAATTAACTCGCCTTATCTAATTAATTATATATATAAATTTTTATCCAAACATCTCGTATGGTTTCTCAAATTTATTTCTATATTACTTTACTGTGTGAGTCATCATCAAGACAACCGTGGATAATAACCGCGCCCCATCGTGTAAACACATCGTTGGCAACCGAACGGCGCGTATCTCTTGTTACAACGGCACGTCGTAACATTACGACTGTCGGCGGTCGTGAACGTCGTCGCGTGAAATGCAGTCGCATCGGCGACATAATTAAAGTCGCCCTTTGTCCCCGCCGCGCGTTTCGCCTGAATTATTCCTGTGACTCCAGAAATTTAGTAGGAGGCGCGGAAACGCGCCGGGCCGTATCTTCGCGCGAATATACGGGATTTAAAAAGTGTGTGGCTCACGTTTCCGGAAACGTGCGCCCCGCTAAATGCATCTCGCGACGCCGTGTATCAAGCGCCTTTCGCGATAAGGGAAACTTGGCGTGATACGCATTCGTTTCGGAGACGATGAGAGGGAATGAAAGAACCACTCTGCACTAATGTATTTATATTTGCGACGCTTAGACCGTTAGAGATCGCCCTTTCGAATTGACGTTGACCAAAGCACAATCATCAGATTGTGCTCCTACTCGCCGGAAGCTGCAATTGATTGCAACATCCACATCTCTGAAGTGCTTTGTTGCCATTGCGCCGGGCTGATACCAGCATCTCGCTCGCGATTATCATGTTGCCATGCACGAACCCATATTCTCGAAGACGCGATATTAACCCGTAAGGATGTCGCGCAATTTCGCAAGCTTCGAGAAACTAATTTAACGTTCGAAGTTCGTTCATTCGTTCAGATAATTATTTTCTTGAAAATAATAGTATTATATTTGTATTATTATTTTTTTTTTTGAAAAGTTTAGTCAAACGACTTTAAAATCTACTTATGCTACGGTTAATAAAGATCGGTCGTGTAATCCGGCGTAATTGGTTTAGCCAAAGTTCTTTGCAAGCGTAACAAGGCTTGCGTAGGACTTGAGCGATAAAGTTCATATCCCTTAATGATCCCTCGTTGCAAAGTTACATTGTTATCTAGACCGCAGGTGGGATTACGAACGCGATCGATTTGCATAGGGGGGAATATCTAAAAGCATGATGTGGAATCTAAAAGCATTAGTGGCGAGTGTATCGTAATGTTGCAAAATACAGATATAAATATTCTAATATAAATCCCGGATCGCTGGATTAAAATTTTAATTATTGCTGTTTTATTTATTACAAATACCCGCCGATGTAGATATTTTTCTTCAAAAATAACTGTTTGCGTATCACCGTACTTCACATTTCACTTCTATACTATAAAGAATATGTTTCACTTTTGTAGGACCGATGTGGATGCTGCGTCCGGCACGAAAAGTGGTACTTTAAAATTCGTAAGGACTCTGACAAACATCTCGAAGGACGCAGGCGCCGTCGCCCATATGCGATGCGAAGTCGTGGGCGATCCTCCACCGACAAAAATACGATGGTTCAAGAATGAAGCCCCATTAGAAGAAGATCGGCCGAAAATCACCATTAGAAAGATACACGCGCAAGTACGTGAAGCTATCAAATCGCAATTATGCAAGATTTCTTCTCAAATTAAATCTTCAATCTCTGCATTTTTACAAATCTCATTTTTCTCTTTATATTTTATATTAAAGTTCGTACTTTGAACTGTTAATTCTAATTCTTATGTTATTATTCAGTAAACTAATAGATGTGTGCATTCTTCTAATATTCCAGACGCATGAACATGTGGCGAAAAACTTGGCGGGAAGTCGACTAAAAATCACAAACTTAGATGTCTCCGATGTTGGCTTTTACACCTGTCGCGTTACGAATGGCAAGGATCAAATCCAGAGCGAAGGAATCCTACGAGTTGATTCATCGAAGAAATGGCAAGGTAAGTGATTCAAAATTAGCTTTTTATCAACTCCTTGCATTACGGCGCTCGAATCGACTATAATGATTGATTATATCTGGGATATTTAGTCATTCGCTGAGATATTTGATAAGATGAGATATTTTAATTTCTTACAATATATTCTTCTTCATATAATATAATATTTAAATGAGGATCACTTCTTTGAATATAACAATTGTTGTTGCGTTATTATTTTAACTTGTATTTCATTTCATTATATTTGGATTAGAAAAGATTTTTATACATATTCCGTATAAAATTACGTCCGAGCGACCGTTACGCAATTACGTTAACGAGTCTCGACGTAACCATTAGGAAGGATAATCATATCTCCTTCGTAATTTTAAAGCTGCGCGAAGCAGTTCGCCCATAATCCGGGTGGTTTGCATTTCACGGGAATAATTAAACACGCGAGTTTTAAACACGTTGCCCGTAAAATCCGGCGAATATGATATTTCCACGTCACCGAGAAACAAGTCTCGAAGGTGGGCTTTGTGGCCGTAACTCGTTCACCGAACAACACCGTAAAAAGCATTTGTAATGCGCGAAGTGAATCGCAACATTTTATCCACCCCGTCATGGTGAAAATTTTCGAGTAAACGCATTAAACGCCGTAGGTAACGCTGTATGTTTGACGCGGAAGCATTATCATAAAATGCAAAACCGCCTGACTATGAAAACGGTTATGCTGCTTGGCTCTACACCAGCTGTTGTATTGTTATCTTATGCTCCAAGGGCGTAGGCAGAATTTTCTCTACTTCGGGAAATATATTCTATCTTCATCTAATCAATCTCGATCGAAATTATTAACAGAACGTTTAAAATTCATTCTGAAGAGATTTTTCATTCGCCGCTTTCCCACAATCGTGCATAATTCAGCAAACTTCTGAAAATTTCTGTATTTTGGAAGTTAAATTATCATTGATCTCATTGACAGATAAAATAGCTGGAAGATTGAATAATAATTTGCATGCGAAGAATAATTAAATTCATCGAAAGTTTGCGCGCAATGTGATATTTGTCTGCCCACATTTTTTTTCGTAGATTAGTTCAATGTTTTTACGCTTTATTTCGATTCATTTATATTTTTTCGCCGTTTGATATTTTATATTATTTCCATGATTTCCTGACTCGGACTTTTGAAAGACTTCTGAAGTTTGAACCCCGTAAAAGCACCCTTGCCTACGTCTCTGTTATCTTCTCTGCTCTAGTAGGTAGTTCCTGTTTACGATGCGCTACGCTTTCCGAGGTCATTCCAGTTAATGTGATATTACGGTAAATATTTAAAGACTTTAACTAAGACGATGGAATTGTCGATAAATTGTCAATTTATTTAAACTTGCTCTAAGATTACTTCAATAAATAGGGTAATGCCAACAATCTTTATCGCAAATACTTTAGCATATTATTTCCAGCAATTAATTTTTATTCTGCATAATTTTGCAAGTATTCGAAAGAAATATTCTTAACGCGAAAGAATTTATTGCGGTAAAATGCAATCGTCCACAGAGCGTCTGTAGAATCGCGAAACATTTAGTACCTGTATTTCGCTATTACGTCTATTTGCAAATGTGTTCGAGGCCGATTCAGTTTATCCTCGGAAATGAAAGAAACTACGGAAACAGAGCTTTCCTGAGTTCCCCGACTTTAAAGCTGGCAAGGAATCGTAAAAGTAATGCTGTTATACGAATACCGCGCTCCTCGCCGTAGCGAAAATCGAATCGAATTAAGAGGAAGTGAAAGTCAGGTTCGTAGTTTGCCGGCGGTCGAAGTGGGACGACGAATAAAAGCTCTTTCGTGCTTCGACTTCGAGGGGAACAAAAATAAGAAACTTAACGCGATCGTAAAACTGTCAATTTGGAGCGAGTTCACGATCGACATTCATTATAAGAGCAGATGAGAAACGAGTCGAAGAAGAGTGAAATACAGAAGAAGATATTGTTTTTCTCTACATATATTCAATATATTTTTTTATTTAACGTAGCTTTAGCTTTCAACCGCGTTAATTTATCGCGATAATAATAATTGCGATCAACTGCAAAACAACCGCCAAAATTGATTAACCTTATTCAATAACTGCCTAAATTGATATTACCGAAATAAAATTATAAAGCAATAACTATTAAATCTAATTATCCGATTAGTACATTGTCATTGTACAGTGCACAATTATTGTTTCTGATTAACATAATGTAATTTATAATAATAAAACTACATCTGCGACGAGCAAATTGTTATCCATAATATTCTACATTATTCTAATCTACAAAATCTATCGGAGATTAATCAGCTCTGGCACTGAATTATTTACCGAGATCATAATTTATTAACTTCATCGCCGTACAATATTTCATTTAAGCGCGCCGGGAAATAATTCGCCGGCTAATAGCGCACTTTCTCGCTCGCGACGCACATCCTACTTTCCGAGATCACGGATTTTTCTCTTGACATCCTTCCCGGAGTCCTGAGATGCACTTCACTTCAAGAACTTCATTATGCGTGGTGTAAATTAGTTTCAATTTATCGCGAGACGCGGACAAACTTCTTAAAGCGGAACTTCAAGCGTTTCCCCGGGACGAAGTTATTGCGCGACAGCTCTGACAAATTCTAATCCAGCCCCGTGGTGTTTCGGTTAATGCGCGAAGTACAGCAAGAACGAAGCAAACCTCAGTAAAGTCTACCTCTTGAAGATAGACAAACCATGCCGACACTTCTTCTGGTGGACGAAAGTTTGTCGTTAATGCCGCGTGAGTAGAATTTGGAGTCTGCGTCAGCAAACTGCGTTTAAGTTTCAAGGGCTCGGACTCGGCTCGGGCATACTATTAACTATTTACCATTAATCAGCCGCAAGTCAGGTATTTCTCAAGAATAGCCGGGTATTTGTATTTTGCAGCAAAGACGCGCATTATTCACAATAATTTTGCAGCTCACTGTGGCGTACGTCTAGAATTTAAAAATGTATTGTTAATTAATTATCTCTACTAATTATTAATTTATCGATATTAATTAATGAAACAATCATTATTTAATCATAAATGGAGAATTATTACAAAATTTTATAAAGATTAATGTGGTTTAATCCTAAATTTCACCGAATAATAAACATCTCGCCGTTTGAGTGTTATTTCCCTTTACGTGGCGATTTTCACGCGTTTTTCGCTGCAATTTCCCTCCAAGCTGAATGACATTTACAACTCGAGGCAGGGGCAACAGGGTGCAAACGGAGCAGGACGAAAGTCTCGCGGCTCTTCCGACCTGCTTCGACATCCTGGTCCGAAAAACGCTGTATCTCGTCTCCCGGTGACAGGACGAGGCGCCCCAGTGGAACTTCCTGTAATAAAGTTTCCGAAAAGCTCTCACGCCCGGAGGCGATGAAACAAAACTGGCGGCGTTCCTGGGACGAAGTTACCGTCGAAGAGACGCCCCTAACAAATTCTAATCTAATCCCAAGAGCCGGGGCGCCTCGGCTAATGCACGAGGCGCGGCCTGTGCACCTCTTCTCGTTCTCGTGTCCTCGTTCCGAAGCCCGGTCCTTTCGTTCCCGAGCGGCGCAGGACGAACTTTAATATTAGCACTCTGCAAGTCAAACTCGACGCTCGGAAAATTCAAACTTCTTTCCTCACCGCGGCGGGTGTCCCTCCCCCACCGCGGAATTTTAACATCGTCGCGAGAGACGAGGGTAGGACGGATCATGCGAGACTCGGCGGTGGAAGATCGCGAAGGGCGCCGAAGGGGAATCTGATTGCCGGCGATAACTTCTTCCCGAACGGCGAGGAACCTAATCGTCCGATTTGCCACCCCATAGATCTTAGCATGTTAATGTCAATCGCACCCTTCGTATTAGGACGTCGGGATTTAATTTCGTGGGATCGAAAATACCGGTTAATTAACGTAATTGACCTGCCTGGTCGACAGTGATTGATTTGAAAAATTTAAATATACTTGAATTCTATACCGATCGATATCGCGTAGCGCAGCAAATGTACTCGCACGCACCGTCATGAGAATAATTGCATTTTCTATCTAGAATTGTAGCGCATTGTATGCTTTATGCGTTATGCAAACACGATTTTATGGAAAGGTATACCGATTGCCGTGGCAGCTAAGATTTACTTTCCGCGTGTTTGCAAGCGATTGTTTCACGTGATACGGAAACCGACCAAATTCGCCGCACGTCGTCTACATCGTAAACTCCGCGCGCAATGAAATTCATATCGCAAACGTGAGACTTGGCGTACACTCGAGAGTTTCAGACTATCGCTGGCAATGTATCCTCTAAAGCTTGGCAATGTATCTTCGAAAGTACGTATTTGTTTTTAAATTTCCCGGACGTAAACTGTATAATGTAACATAATTTTGTCTTCTGCTTTATAAAAAAGTTCTAAAAGTATATTTCACGGAAAAGCTAACGGCAATGTTGTCTATAGAGTGACATGTCTTTCATTGCGATACAATTTTCAATTCTTTTTTACGTTCTTTAAAAAACATTCGAATGTAATTCCTAATTATTTAGAGAGAAAAATGATACAAAATATATAAAAGATGAAAAATACAAATCTTACGATACATATTAGTAAAATACGTTCGTCTGTATTGTTAACTTTCTTTTATCGAAGCCCTCGTTTCGGAACGAGCCTCTTCGATTAACGGCAGCGTTTTCTTCCTCTTTCCCGTCCCGATAGCGATGAAATGATAACATTTCGTTTAACAAACGTGTGACTCAGAAATAATAACTCGGCCATTTAGCATGGTGTTCACGTTTCGCGGCTCTTTTTATTAGCGCGGCCGAAGCGCCGGGGGTGGGCAACACGTCGGCGACGACGGAAAATTGGGAAAGGTAAATGGCCGCGTTAAAAGGGTGTCCGACCCGCACCTTCCTAATTCAGTTATCCCCGTTGCCCTCGGGTTTTTAACCCGAAGAGGCGGAACACTTAGTTACTCCGCTGCCCGTCGTAGATTTCTCACGTGCTCGCTTTGCG